CAAAAAATTTGATGACGTCAGCTCGAAAGTTTGCCGAATAAATCCTATCTAAAGCGTAAAAATATGATGAGTCTGTACTTGTGATTTATCACTTCATTCATATTGTTTAGATTTTCTTAAGAGGTGGCTCAAAAAAATTAATGAAGTCAATTTATTTTATTGATTAAATTAAAGGCAACACTTATTATTAGTATTACATTGGACCAACCCAATTTGGTAGACACAAAATTTTTTAAAGTAAAAACTCGGTTGAAACATAAGGGTAGCACGCTTATTTACATCGACTTTAACATTACAGACGTGTGCGCTGTCTAGGTTCCGCGAATGTGGAATAGACATGTTTATAATCAACCAATTGTGAATTTCACCGTCAAGAATTAAAATAAAACCCAATGTTTTATATAATAAGCGGAAGTCGAAGCAATAAAACCGATGGTCGTTTTGTTTACAGTTTCTCAGTTTGACTCTCACGTATGCTGTTACGCTTGTCATCTTAAATTAAGAATGTTTATACATAAACGGTTTTCAGTTGCCTTTCATATTACTAGACAGCGGATTTTTGTCGGGCTACGTCACGATTATAGGTGGGGACGCGCTGGATCGCCGGGACTCAGTAGCGGGTGATAGATAATCACTGAATTTAATTGGTACTAATTCCATAAATATAATTAACGATTTATTAATCAAACGGCTAAGTAAATGAGAACGGGAATTAACAGCAGAGTGCAACGAAACAGCGTTATTCTAATCTCAAATAAACGAAGTGCAGTCCGCAACCGCAATGAATTCGCATCCCGTACGAGCCGTACCGAGTTTGGCCTTGCCTAGCCCGACAGAAATCCGTTCTCTAGATATTACACACCGGCGCCGTATACGTGAGTAAATTGTTTCGTTATTTTATTGATTATAAGAAATCAATATTCAAAACAACCCAATTCATTTTCCCGAAAATTTGGGAATACAATAATTTTATTCTTAGTATTACACTACATCTATCCCAACTGATATACGTGTCCTTGCAAAAATGTTGATGACGTCATCACAATTTTTTTTTAAATTCCCACTACAAAAATGTAATGAGAAAAAAAAACACAATAGGCATGCAGTCGTCAAGTTTCCGACAGCGAGGGAAGTACTGTCTAAACTCTTTAGACCAATTTTTTACTAGCTGTAAACACCCCTAGCGACGACGCAGTGGCTACGACCTTGTGGACCAGATCAAAGCGTCCCCGCTACTCGCCGTAAATCACACCTTACTTCAACTGGGGGATTGCAGCGGTGAGATAAAATATCGCGTACTGGTTATCAATGTACACTGTACAGTGCTTGACTTTGATTGTTATGTTGATGCATCGAAACACGAATACCACATACGAGTAGCAATCTGTTAAATATGAAAGCATTTGTCTCTTCAAAACCGAGGACGAAAATTATTCATTAAGCTACAATAGAGCAAAATGTTCTGTATATTATAGTAGTATCACAATTCTTATGTTATTACTATTACGTATCGACGGGCGCATTCGCAGATTTTCGAGAAAATAAGATGACTGGTTGACTCGTTCTTAATTTGATGAATAAAAATTGGCCCAAAGTCATATAGACACAGGTTCCCCCGTTCCTGAAAAATATATAGGCGAACACATACAGATTAAAAAAATATATAAAAAATTTAATATTGCTCTTTTTATTTTTTTGTTATATAATAACTGCTACAAGTTAAAAAAAATGGCTAAAAGTTGTTCCGACATAACTTCCCTCGCTCCGGAAGTACAATGAAACATATCCAGCATTCTCGAGTTGAGTTTTTCTTTACACAATTTTGTGATGACGTCATCAACATTATTGCAAGGACACGTATAATAACTTGGATTGGTGCAGTGTAATACTAAAAATAACAGTATGGTATTTCCAAACATTTTCAGGTCAAATGGAGTGGACATGAATTGACTCATTCATTAATTTTTTGAGCCACCTGTTTAAGCAAATCTAAAAAATATGAATGCAATGACAAATCACAAGTAAAAACGCATCATATTTTGCACATTTTGGGTAGAATTTATTCCGCAAAATGTTGAGATGACGTCATCAATTTTTAGCGGCGAATAATGAATAAATAGATATATCTTGACAATTTACCATGCTTACAATAACTTTAAAACGTCTGCAAGATTTCAAAGTATTCAGTTTCACAATTCTTAATTTAATCAATAAAATAAACTGACGCATTTATTACCCTGTATACGCAAATCCAAAAAATATGAATGGACTGATTAATCACAAGTACAGACTCATCATATTTTGGACATTTTAGATAGGATTTACTCGGCATAACTTTGATCTGAAGTGACCAATTCATCATGCTTATCATAACTTTAGAATATCAACAAGATTTCAGTCTAGTAGATTCAAAATTAAATTGCAAAATGTTGTTTTATAATTTTGATTTTTTTTTCCAAAAATCTGGACGTTGCGGGTAACAACCTTAGATCATAAAATAAATAGATACCACCATGCCGTGTTCTTTCCCTAGGACAGCCTGTGACGACATCCTCCTGTCACACATCTCTCTCGTGCAGGGAGGGATTACAATGAAGCTATCCTTGCCTGATCACTATTTGAATTTTGCGCGCCTAAATTTTAGGAAGTATGTCTGAACTAACTTCGGAAGAAAGATGTTGACAGCTTGATTTTATAAATAATTCACAGTAGATAACGAAAGGAATAGTAAATTATTGGACAGCAATTGTGATCCTTTATGACTACATCACTTAAAATAGGATCTTTGTTTTAAATTCTAAAATTGTTTTTTGTACAACAACTCGAAAGAGAGGTTAGAAGAAATTTTTGTCAAAAGCGATTTGTTGCGCTGGTGCGGTACAAGGATGGAAGTGAAATAGACATATACAGATGAAATGCATATAACAAAGATGAAGATGTGGTGATCACACAAGGATAGCATTATACTACTCCCCTTGACGTAGAAAACGACAACAGATAGCTTCATGTCTAGTCACAGCTTTCAGTTTGAGTATTGGTATCTATTTATTATATGATCTAAGGTAACAACTCAATACGGCGTCATAAACTACATGTGTAGGCCTATGTTATTTTATACAATTTGAAACCCATTTACTATGTACAATTTTGAAGTGACGTTTTTGGTGGGGATGATTAGAGAAATTTTGGTTAGCATTTTGTCATCCACATGATACTCCTAATATAAATACAAAATTTCACAACAATCGGCCCAGTACTTTCGGAAATTATCTGTCTAATCAAAATCTGGAACGGCAGACAGACGGACAGACTGACCAACAAACAAACAGACAGACAGGCAGACAGGAAGACAGGCAGACAGATCAGACACACAGACAGACAGACGGATACGGGAGACCTATCTCTTCCTATTCTAGGGGTCATGAATGGTCTAGAAAACGTAAAAGGACAGAGTCGGCCGACAGACTCGATTACAATGCTTTCTTCGCTTACGCTCGGAAAGCCAAAAAAGAGGTGGCTTATGCTCTACCACTACGCCACGCTACTTTTTACGCAGCGTCGTACAATATCTCTAAAAAAGAGGACGGTTTAAATAATAAACTAAAGTAAAAAAATAAAAAAATCAAGGTAGTAATCACCGGAGCGTATTTTTTCATAAAATTTAGGTAATGTTAATTTTGCAATAAAGTGAGCGCTCCAGTAATTTTGGAGATTATCTGTATAATAAAAATCGACGGATAGACAAAAGGCGACAGAAGATCGAGAAAAGATGAAAGCAACCGTTCACCGGATGTTTCCTTGGCCGGTTCGGAAAGGAAAGACTTTATATTATACCGAATTGTCATGCGTAATTAAAGGTGATTATAACTTTGGTTTCTGAAAAGATTTTAACATCTAAAATTTTTCGTATTCTAAAAATGAGCCTTTTGAAATCATTTAGATTTTTTTTAGATTGAGATAACTTTTGGTTAAATTTGCGTGTAGATAACCACGAACTTAATCATACAAAAAATTAGATCGTTTTTATACAGTCGCTTTGACGTCCTTGTCTTCACAAAGTTCAATTGTAGACTTCATTTTCGAACTCCAGCAAGTTTCCGGGCTACAATAACATTCTTTCTAAGTTTTACATATACTTAATAAAAGTCGATCATATGAAATTAATTCCCCGAAGGCGTACTAAGGGTAAGGGTGTATCTGTGCATAATTCCAGGTTGTAGTTGCTCCTTTATACCTTCACTTGACATTCTTTGATCCTTGGAACCTCTATTAATTTCAACTTTCCTGCATCAGGCGTTTGTTCATAAGCGGGTGTTCATTTGAATTAGGCTTTACCCTCGTGGTGTACAAATAGACACAGGCTTGTATTTTCACATTTAACGGCAGCACATAACATTTTCCATACATTCATATCAGCCTAATTATGTACGAGTATATAAGATGACAGTATCAAATTAGAGATGCTGGGACGCATCATCGAACAAATAACACAAGACCGTAATTTAATTACTTAATGGAAACATTAAAAATCCATTACCTTGTATGCCTTTAATGTATTCTCGCCTGTTAAATTAATTTTACGATATATTTACATCAGTTTAAGAAAAATCCTTAGATAAACATTGTGTTGAAAATTAATTAATTCAAGCTGCCGCACCTGTATTGCATTTCTTGAGGTCTCAAAACAAAGTGCGATATATAATAAGAAGGGGTTGTTACCATGTGGTAATTACTGAAGTTTCAGTTCTTGACATATCTAATGCTATTTGGTGCTATCTCATTTGAATAAACTGCTACACTTCCTTATAGCTAGGTTACTCGCGCTAGAAAACCAATCAAATGAGTACAACACCGGCGACTCAGGGTTTCGTTGGTAGCAGGGTACGGGGTTCAATTAAAAAAAAAAACTTTAAGGGCGCCAGTAACGACCTACCGTGTCACTTAATGCTCCCGTTACCAAAATGACGATATAACTATAGCTCTCTCTCTTTGATTTACAGACTTTCCTTTCTCGCTGGCCAACTTGGAACAAGGTAACTTAAATGCAAGGGGAATCCCTTTGAAACTGAATTATTTCGAACCAACGAATTGAATTAAATAACAATTCAAAAAAAAAGTTAAACAATACAGCGTGTTATTGAAAGGTACATACAAAATAAAATGGGCAATTGGTCTCAAAGTATGGGTGCTAAAAGTTAAAAAAAGTTCACGTAAAAGTGTTCTCCTTTCAGAGACAAAAATTATTAAAATTTATGTCCAAATTCGTTGTACGCCTCTGATAAAAAGATCATCTCTCGTTTCTATAGCAACATTTAGTCTTGACCATGGCCGACTAGTTTAAAGATTATGGCCTGTCCAAGACCACGGCCAACTGGTATTAATACATATGGCCATCCCAATTCGTAAAAAGTTGATTCTTTGACGTTTCCAAAATCGTTAATCAGGCAACGACATCTGTTGAGTACAATTATGAACTTGGTTGGCAAATAATTGTCAAAATGACGTTTTAAAATATCACGTTTTTCTGAAAGTGTAGATAATGGCACAAGAACATTAATGATATTACTCCTACTATTTAGTTTTGAAATAAGATAGATATATTTTTACAAAACGAAAATTATTTAACAAAAAGGAAGGTACATATTCATACTTTTAAAACTTTTCTGCTGGAAGGTTTGTTACAGATCGTTATTTTCTTCAACCAGTCTGTTTGTTCCAAACAAATATTATCAATAACTGGTTTCACTGTTGCTCGAATAATTATATCACAAACTCTTGATTTATGTTCCAAGCAACAAAATAATGGATTTTGGTCCAAAGAAGGAAGGAGCAGATTACATATTTGTTGACATGTCTTTTTAGAGTTTAAAAACGGTGGTATTAGAAAGTTTTTTAAAAAGGGTAACATTTAGATTCAAGTTATCTGTAACGAGTCGCAAATTTCAAACTGACGCAGTCAATATATGTTATTGGTGTTTGAATCTGCTTGTTTTTTAATAATAATGGGCAGAAAATGTGCAATTTGTGGAAATACAGCTAAACCTTTATTTCAATTCCCCAACAATCCCGCAAGCCGAGCAAAATGGTTTGAAGTTGTCGATAAATTCATTGGTAATAATTTAATAATTAAAAAAAATATTCCGGCATCATAAAAAATTTGCAGATATTTCTAAAATTAAAGATCACTGGTCTATCTGTGAACGCCATTTCAAGAAAGACCATATTATTTTCGGTAAGACTTCGGTGCGTTTAGCCGATAACGCTATTCCCTTTCTACCAATCATTGTTAGTACAAAATAATTTACATTTTAAAAATCAGGTTTGGTATAATATTCCTTTTTTAGAATGATACACTTAATTTTGAAAATCCTTCCCCATCCACCAGCGTACCTTCTGATTATTTAGAAACCAGTTCAAAATCGATTCAAGTAAATACTGTATCAATTCAAGAAATCACAGATCTTCGATATCATGTTAAAGTCCTCACATTACAGCTGAAACGAGCAAACGAAAAATTCTCTAAATGTCATGAAAAATTGAGAAATTTACAGGAGAAAGTTAATGCAGATAATTTGAAATTTATAAAAAAAATTGCTGACGATTCTGAAATTTCTGAAGAAAGGGCAGTATTTCTTATGGACCTAATAAGAAATTATAATAAGAGAGTACCACGTTGGTCAGAAATATATGTGCGTTTGTGTACAATTTGGCGATTCTGTTCACCTAAAGGTTATGAGTACGGTCGTACTAACTTGTTAAAATTACCATCAAAAACAACAATTTCTCGGTATCTTGGGAAATATAATGGACCAAATGAATTAATTGAGCAACGCTTATGCGCTGAGATATCGCATTTAAAGCCTATTGAACGAATTTGTTCTCTCATAGTTGATGATATGTCCATTAAGGAAAAAATGGTTTATTCTAGATCAGAAGACCAGGTTTATGGTCTTGATACTTGTGGCACAGATATAATTGGCAGTGACCCTAAGACAGCGAATAAGATGTTATGTTTTGTCATTGATGGGTTATCAACGAAATACACAATACCTGCAAGTTATTTTTTCCACAGGCAGCTTACAGTTGATACTTTCCACGACTTGACCTTAAAAGTGTTAAAACTCTTGACTGAGTGTGCTTTCATAGTTTTGCGACTCGTTACAGATAATTTGAATCTAAATGTTGCCCTTTTTAAAAAACTTTCTAATACCACCGGGCCTCCAAAAAATTGTATCAGCCACCCTGTCTTGGAATATTTGCCCTTTTTTCTAAGTTTTGATTTCTGCCATGCTGTAAAAAATGTACGAAACCAGTTCTTGAATCATGATATGCTATCACTACAAGGTACTATTTCATCTAAATTTTTGAAAAAAATATATAAATTGCAGAAAGGGCTACCTGTAAAACCAATTAGATTTTTGACAAAAACGCACTTATATCCTACAAATTTCGAAAAAATGAATGTGCTGAGAGCCGTGCAAATATTTTCCACTCCAGTGACATCATCATTGCAGTATTTAAAAGACGCCAATGACAAAAATTTTGTTAATGTTGAAAACACGATACAATTTATGAAAACAATTTATTACTTCTTCCAAATTCACAACGTATCCAATAGATATCATTACATTAGATCATTAGATAGCAGTATCGCTCCATATGTTCACGTTTCTGATGAAAGACTTCAGTGGCTAAACGAAATTTTTCCAAATTATATAGATGAAATTCAGACCATCAGTTCTGCTAGCACCAGTTTTCGTGGTTTCACACAAGAAACTGCACATGCTTTAAAATTTATAGCCAGAAGTACATATTTGTGTGTTAAGTTTTTATTAGAACAAGCAGGCTTTTACTATGTTCTTACGCGTTCCTTTAGCTCCGATGCGGTGGAAGCAACGTTCTCACACGTGAGATTAAAAGGAGGCTCCAATGATGCAACGGATGCCAGAGCGGCAGAATATGCAATGCGTCAGATCCTCCGCTGCGGAATTGTTAAGTGTTCCAAATCATCTAATGTTTCCAATATAGACTTTGTCAGTACTGCAAAATTCTCGGTTTTGGATCATGATACAAAACAAGACAAAGAAAATTTTGATGTACCTTTGGAATTAAGAACAAAGATTCAAAACCTAAGTAAATTAATTGAACCCTGTGCAAACATTTTATCGGCATCTGTGGCCTTTTTGGCTGACTACATTTTAAAGAAATTAGACGACAAATTTCATTGCGACAGCTGCCTTGCACCGCTGTTGTCCAAAGAGGTTCCTGGTCCGCTATTAAGACTCATCCTGTTACAGGATCGAGGTGGATTAACCTATTCCAATGCATATTTCGTAGGCATTGTGAAGGAAGTGGCTGACGTCACTCAAAAAATGTTGCCGTTTTTAAACTCCAAAAAGACATGTCAACAAATATGTAATCTGCTCCATCCTTCTTTGGACCAAAATCCATTATTTTGTTGCTTGGAACATAAATCAAGAGTTTATGATATAATTATTCGAGCAACAGTGAAACCAGTTATTGATAATATTTGTTTGGAACAAAGAGACTGGTTGAAGAAAATAACGATCTGTAACAAACCTACCAGCAGAAAAGTTTTAAAATTATGAATATGTACCTTCCTTTTTGTTAAATAATTTTCGTTTTGTAAAAATATATCTATCTTATTTCAAAACTAAATAGTAGGAGTAATATCATTAATGTTCTTGTGCCATTACCTACACTTTCAGAAAAACGTGATATTTTAAAACGTCATTTTGACAATTATTTGCCAACCAAGTTCATAATTGTACTCAACAGATGTCGTTGCCTGATTAACGATTTTGGAAACGTCAAAGAATCAACTTTTTATACGAATTGGGATGGCCATATGTATTAATACAGTTGGCCGTGCCAAGACGTACCATACGTGTTGCCATCTATTAATAATTACACTTAATAATTTAGCAAAATTTTAATTTGATTTGACATTATGAGACTTCAAAACGTGTAATGGTCGTTTGTTTCGGTATTAATGCCTTTGTGCCTTTCAAAAAGCGTTAATAATTCTTTTGTCGATTTTGAATTATTAATAAATGGCAGCACGTATGGTACCCTTGGACAGGCCATAATCTTTATACTAGTCGGCCATGTCTTAACAAAAGTTTTATTGTTACAGTTGCTAGGATTTACTAAAATAAATTAATTTTACCAATTTATCCTTCAGTAGCGTCTAAAAAGGTTGGATAAGGGTTAATTTTCCTCTTATAATTTTGATAACACAAAATAAGTTTTTCAGACTTCTTAGACTTCGCGAAGAACTGTCAATTTTGTTGTACGTACCTTTCAATAACACTCTGTAAAATAAAAAAAAGTTGGTGAATTAGTGAAGTATGGTCAAATTAGATCTACAAAGCTACTAAATTCTGAGTAAGTCTGAACACCACAGTCTGGAGTTGTAAAGTCCAAATGGTATATTTAAATTAACAGTGGGACCGTTCTAAATAAATAATTTACGCATCTACTTTAGTCAATCCAAGGCGTGGAGAATAAGTACTTATATCCTTACATAACGCCTTTTGCTTTAGAAACTTTAACCCACATTAAGTGAACTGAAACATTTAAAAAAATATTTCCTGAAAGAGATCTAGTCTAGATTCATTTGTCAAGAGACACGGCTTCGCTGCTCTGCTGTCCTGTGATACTGAAGACGGGGGTGCACTGGAGACAACCACGCGGTGACTCAGACAACAGGCTGTTCGACTTCGACAGTCGACAGTCGACAAGCTCCTCACACTAGTGCTCTCCGATGCTAGTGCCAACGACAGTGGTTTCGTTGCCCTTCCACCTGGAGGCCTCCAGCTCCAGGATGCGGTCCCTTCAAAAGCTTGCTTACCATAACTCGTTCGCAAGCGAATCTTCAATAACTAGACGATGAACGAATACACGTCTTCCTCGACTAACGCAGCTTTCTCTTGAGGCCTTATGCTCTAACACAATAGTCCAGATTTTTCTGACTACGAAGTGGCGTCTTCGCCTACACAAAATATTGGAC